CCGTTTGCAAGAAGCTGTGTATGCTAATTGTTTCAAATCGCATTGCTCTTCTGACAGTGTTTTAACCATATGCTTCATCGTGTTTACTAGACAGATTTGAGATTTAGCTGAAATGGGAACATGAGTCAATTCATTGCCGGTGTTTGGGATAGCAATAGTAGATTTTTCAACCCATTGCCGGACAAATGCATGACTATTTGTCCCACCAAATCCGAAACAGTTAATGCAAGCAGCTCTTGAACCGTCGTTAAGTGTAGACCATGTTGAAACTGATGTAGGTACATCGAGTTCATATTTCTCAAAGTTTATCCTAGGATTTCGAGGAATTGAATGAAGGGATGGTACAATTTTCCCATACTTCATCATTAAAAGTGTCTTGATGATACTTGCAGCTCCAGCTCCAGATTCGAGATGTCCGATGTTGGTTTTGACGGACCCGATGAATCGCTGTTCTGTCACGTCCTCATGCTGTATCGGATAATCTTTAAAGAAGCTACCAAGACTGTTGACTTCAACGGGGTCACCGATAGGCGTACCGGTACCTGCGGAAGAAGAAGCACAAATACATGTTTTTTCTTATAATCCGGATGTAAGATTTTTTTGTGTAATATTGGAACAATTACTTTTAACATGTTCTTTTGAATGACTTTAATCATAAATACTGTTATTTTGGCCGTTATTTAGATCAGTTTTCAGGTTACAAGTGTAATAATTATACTAAGTGAGCGATGCATTGGCCCTCTTGTGCAATGCGATTTAAGGAATACATGTTTCCATAAGACCGTCTAGCCAGTGAATCTATCACAGAGGACGTTTACCGAGCCTGCATCTAACGAACAATGTATGGCCCATGTCTTCTCATCACGTACATACCGTGTGCCTCTATGTACTGGACATCACTGGGGTCGATGTTGTAGGAATCCAGATACATATCATGAAGAAGTCGACTCTGTTGGATCTCGGATGGCGCAGTAATTGGTTTTGCAGTCTGTCCATCCTGGTTGCAGCCCGTACGGATGGTCGCCCATATGTGCCTGCCATTCTTCCGGGCCTGTATATGTAACAATCAGATGACATGGTAATCAAAGAATTAACGCAGTGACTGACTTTAATACGACTTATCTTTGCTTATGGCATAGAGTTTGTAGAAACGATAGTTGCCCTTTACCTCAATATCGGGCGATTTATTGTGCACATATATCTCTTCTACATTTAACATCATAGTTGACATATATATCAAATTATTAGTATAATCTACTATGTGAATAGACAAAATATCTTAAAAATAAAAGCACAGATAGATCATGGCGCAAACATAGTTGAAAAGATATTGTAGAAATGTATTACTTCCCGAATTACATTCCTAAATGTAAACAATCACGTTCCAATATAAACACATGTTAATAAAACAAAAATGTTGCAATTGTAAGTAATAATACGTGCTATCACGAATACAAACCACGTACATCACTTAGCCTCTCTAGTATGACGATGCCACATCCTTCTCCCCGGGCGTAACCATCAGCGTTAGCGGAGAAGGCTTGACACTGGCCGGTAGGTGACGCCATCCGGGCTTTCGTCAGAGTGACGAACATGTCTGGATACAGAATACTGTTGACACCGCCACATATCGCCATGGAAGACTCGCCTAATTAAAGGTATATACATTTAACTAAGACACTGATTTAAAGCGACTTTGTTTCACTTTTGCGCAGGGTATGGATTCTGTACGTTCCGTTTTTCCTAATACATGGCAATTAATACATTTACACGATTTAGAAACAGGCCAATTCACCAACATACATGCATAACCCTTGAATATATCTGACACTTATATTCTTACTTATGATTGTCATTTTGATACATGTACAATATACAGAACCCATACTACAAAGTACCAATCCTAAGATTGCAATGCCACTGAAACGGAGTTTTCTAACCCATTTTAGAAGAGCATGATGACATTTATAAACCAGGGCATATATTTCTTTCGACTCACTTTAATATTAGGCCTTGTCAATCACTTTCTAATGGGCCGTAAAACAATACAAAAACAAAACAACACGTCAATCTGAACTGCTGATGTGTTTAGAGGGTTTTCAGGTTCCTTACCAGCATAAGACTAAGCATACTCTTATTCAGGCGTTTGTTGATATTCAGGCAAGTCATTTATCAGTTACGAAGATTACAATATTTGACTGACATTTTACATGGTATAATATAAAACTCAACCATGATATTGTAAAAGTTAACACACGTTAAGGATGTACACCTCGGAGAAGTCAAAAAATTCCTGTATTAAACTTTTTTTCTTATATGAATTTTTAGAAAAGGGAACACAACAGGTGATTTAATGTGAATTTTCGGGTTTTGACCATTTGAAGAAAAATTTATACAATTTCTTCCAAATGTGTTATCAGAGATGCATGAATGTTTGTTGAATTGTTAAAAATAGTATTTTCTTTTAAATTATGAAAGTAAAATTTCCTTATCTTATTTTTTTTACTCAGAAATGCGATTTTAGTTACCCCTACCCCTTATTTTTTAATGAAAAAATGCAAATTTTTTCACCATTTTTTGCAGATTAAACGCTTGATATAAGAAATTCCTGTATTAAACTTATTTTAGTAGTCAATGAATCAAAAGAAAATGTGTTTCTCTTTCTAAAACAGCCACAAAAATGGCGGGTCGGTGTGCAATTTTTTTTGTCCCATTATTATTTGTGTTATTTTTCACCTTTTTCGGGGTCAAAAATCAAAAGTGCTTCAGTTACCCTAATACGTACAAAAATAATACCAATAATATATAACTTTCCACTTTTTTGCATATTATTTTAATCATATTGAACATTATAAAGTTGTACAGCAAAAATTGAACCTGCTACATTTAGAAATGGTGACACAATGACAATTTAAGTGATCAATCTAGTGTCAAAAAAGGTGAAATTTTGCCCTTTGTGAAGCACAAGAAATTCATTTTTTTTTCAAAATGGCCGCCAGATTGGTATTTTTTTTCAAATTCTTTTAAAAAATATTCTACACACAACAGACATCTAGTTTTTTTTTACATGTTTTTCAGATGTGTGTTTGCTATTAAACCTTTCATAATTTGTTAAATATTACAAAAACCCGTTACACCAGATCAAAACGAGACTTGAACGTGACTGAAACGTCAGAAGAGTACATCCTTAATACCAAACTACGACCTACCAAGTCTCAGGGACTGTGTTGCGAGGTTGACGGCCACTAGTGACGAGGAACAGGCGGTGTCAATGGTAAGTGAAGGACCCAGCAGGTTGTAGTTGTACGACACGCGAGCAGTGATGATGCTGGCGGCGTCGCCAGTCACAGAGTAGTTTGTCATCAGCGAATAGTCCCCGTCCTTAGATGTCTTTGAATCACTGTTCATGGCACCAATATAAACACTCGTGGGCGAACCATCAATCTCTGCTCGTGTGATCCCGCCATCCTCCAGCGCCATGTGCACACATTCCAGCACGTATCGCTGCTGGGGGTCCATTTCTGAGGCCTCTTTCTCAGCAATGCCGAAAAAGGCATTGTCCCAAATATCATGTCTGTAAAGGCCAAAACAGGGGTATTTTAGTAATGTCATCTAGTACTATCGTATAAAAGCACATGGCCAATTTGTAGTGAACGTTTATACAGGTCATATATCTAAAACTACTGGATAATTACAATTGACGATATGGATTTTTTAAAGAAAATTGAACACCCTCAATTGGGACCCTTTTCAAAATATGCGCACCAGCAGAGTGCGCATTTCACTTAACTAATTGTTCTTTTGTCTCTTGCCTCTTCTCTAGTGTAGATTTCGTCGACAATTTTCTAAAGAAGGTCGATTTTTCACGTAAATGAACACAATGTCACGCAAGAAGTTCGTAAACATGTAAAATATTACAGTGAAACCTATAAATGATATTGGTTATGAAAAGATGGTAATTCGTATTCCTTCGCAAACATTCAGCATTTAGGTTAAGCACCCAACAACTGGATTATCCGTGGTCATTTTCATAAGACCGGACAAGAGACACCAATAACACACATAGCGACACGTTCTTTGCCGTAAATATGAATATGAAAACCAATTAATTTATATTCGATACTCAAATAATTTATTACCTTCAGATTTTGTCGAACTAGAAAATACAATTGTGTTGAAATGTTAATTATAGATATATATTTTCAAAAACTCTTTCGTCCGAGTTGAAGTGGCAGTGATGAATCGATTATCTGTCCATCCATGTAAAGAAAGCATGATGGTTTTATTTTATTTAACGTCTAATTTACAGCCAAGAATGAGATTTGAAAAGTGAAGCGCGCATCGAATCTGGTGACTATCTCCACCCGATCAAAAATCAAATGGTCGGGTATTTTGGACAACGAAGCTTATGAGCTAAAACCTTGCATGTTGTCCGTTCGTCGGTATGTTTTCTGAATAACACAGGGGCCAACGTACGCTTGCTGGCATTAAGTGGAATAGGAAGTTTAATGAATGAACTAAGCTAGCCAACTTTGAAGTCTGAATAGTTAAATCTTCCGACAGAGTTTCAAAAAGCGTAAAGTTGTGAAATGCAATGTGTGTGTTCTGGAGGTAACATGTTAATGTATTTGCCTCCTTAGTTATTTGCCTCCTTAGTAAATATTTATTGAATATCAATGCTCTTTTTCCTACATTTAGTTTAAAATATCATCCGACTATTGAACAAGAGGAACGAGTGCTGTACTGATTCCAAGATGATTTTTTTTTATCAATGCTTGTTTAGACTGCGTTGAAAAGTGAGCATATTATGAATGTCTGTAACCAAGGAAAGAATAATACTAACAAATGGTGTCCATTTTGAAACGTAATACATACACATGGTGTCCGTGCGATCCCCCCGAAGATTAAGGGTTGAGGTAAGAAAGTGCCAACGTTAACCAACTACATGTTGTTAGGGGCGACTAATGTTGGGATCCAAAGCTGACTTGGGGATCAGAATGTAAACGTTTGTCTAAATACGGAAGGCAACAGGTTCCTCCCAGAGCCGGACGTACCAAAGACTCTAACTTGGGCGGTGGTTACTCCCTGTCGTGCCAGGTTCGTTCAAGAATAGGCTGACTGTAATGCATGCATTATTCTTGAGATTATTGTCGACATGTGTATCCTACTCCTGCAGAATCGGGGTTGGTATCTTTCTTGTCTTCTGTTTAGGGGCCATCGAATAATCCAAGAAAAGACCTGCTATATCCCACCCTATAGGTATCGTCAGATCGATCCCCTTCAGAATCGCGTATTTTGCCTTGTCTTCTACAAAGAGGACATTGTGGAAATACACCAAAATTGATCCGCTGCCCCATTGCAACACATGGGAACCTTTTCGTTTTCTAATTTCCCTGTCTCATTTCTTTTCAGCCTACTTTGTCTTTACGGCGGTGACTCCCAAGGCACTCGTCCTCGTGTGACCATTTCTTACTACGCATTTGGGTAAATGCTGTCCTCCGCTTTTAAAACACATATAAATGATATATGTCTAATTTCAAGCAATCTTTTAATAATCATAAATCATCATATTTTTGTTTGTTAGTTAATACATCACAGCAAAGAGAGGTATCACTAAGTTCATATGCCGCCAACAATCGGTACGTACTGTACACCACGTGACAAGAGGCAGCATTAACCCGATCCGGCTAAAGTTACCCAGCGCGCCCTTTTATCAATAATGAAAATCATTTCTGTTTAAACTTGCTGATACATGAACCTTAAAACAAAACAAATGTGACTGGCACTGCCTTTGACTTGTGTCCAGAGGTTAGACGGGGTAAAGTTGTGGACGGTCAATAAACTTATAAAGGAAACATCTTGGAAATGTATAACCTCATTTCACATTATCGTATCGTTGTCTAAAATGCATGATATTGAAACATTTTATGTGTATACTGATCTATCGGGTGCGCTATGCCAAAATTGGGTATTGCTGTTACATTTTCCTTAAATGCAATTGGCATTCATATTGCATATAAACCGTATCTGAAAGCATTTTAATGTCTTAATGAACACACCCGGAATGAATACATTTTAACAATGTATCTTTTTTATGTATATACTTATGAGTAGCAAAAGGAAAGGGTGCACAAAATTAACACGTGCGGGAGAGGTTAAACTCGAGATAAATAATCAAATTCCTACCAAACGTTCTGCATTTACGGAAATTGTTACAATTTGTTCACCCGTTGTCAGCATAATTTGACCTGGTGGAATATTGTGCCTGTTTTACATTGCCCTTATTTATGGGGAAACGACGAATGTTGCCTTGAACTACGGTAAATATTTCAACTCGGCCGTTTACATCTCATTATTCTGACAAACATTTTCACGGTTTTTTATTCTCTTTTGTTTTGAGAGAAAATTTCATTTAATAATTGAAGGAGAAATTCGTCATTTGTTACCTTTTCGCATAATTTTGCGAGAGTGAGATGCAAATTTATCATCTGTTGCTAGGTTAGGGGTGATAAAATAATCAAAATACAAACGAATACTAGAATTAAAAAAATCATTGTGGTATGCTTTCATTTTGTTCCGTTTCGATAAACTTGACACACATTTTGATTGGAAGAAAACACCATGACATAAAATGTAATGCTGTCACGCATGGAACTGTCGTAAGAGATTATCTTACGCTGACGTAACAATCAAGGTACAGAGTGGTAACTTGTAACTTGGGAGAAAACTGGAGTGCTCGAAGAAAACCAAACCGAACCGTTGCTGTCTTTGCAAAGGACGAGGGCACTATCAACTGCGCCATTCGTCAGACCATATCACCAGGTCCATTTATAAGTTAACATATCTTAGAATGAACTGTTGCAAATGACGGCAGTATCTTACGCTGATGTAACAATCAAGGTACAGAGTGGTAACTTGTAACTTGGGAGAAAACTGGAGTGCTTGAAGATTTGAGCTATAATGAGCTACTCTGTAACTCTACTTTCACAGGCTTGAAACAAAAAAGGGGTTCTTTGATGCGAAAAATCATGATGTGTATTGTGAATACGACTCCTCTATGATGCAGCAATTTCTATAACAAATTAGCAAAGAATAAGTCCTTTTCAGGCATTAGGACTTTGAGCACCCTTAAACTAAGCAATTTTTCAATACAGAACCAGTAATTGTCTCGTTGCCTATATGGACAAACTTGACATTAACTTTTATATTACTGATGACTTGTAAAGACACATGATCTTGGCAACATGCCCTGTATGCTGCACGAAGACACGTATACACAACACACATGGAGGCACATATTTAAATGACCTTAGCTGTTTATAGGACGTTCAACTCTATAAACCAAACCAAACCGGGACAAAAAGTAGGAGATGTGAAAAGCTAAAGAAAATTACATAAATATAAGTTAAATAATGATATGACACATGACATATTACCATGAGAGTTTTAGAATTCTGATGTTGACCTTGTAACCTGTTAATGGCATTAACGTGTAGCGCATCGTTAGGAAACGATACACATTATTAAAATATGTAGGACTCGCTCTTACTGACCCTACCACCAGGGTTATTGCTCTATCTTCAACATTTCTTGATTTCACAATCACAAACTCAAATTTTGCTTAAACATATATCACAGCGACCCTGCCTCGTGAAGTGATAACTGTTCTTTCACTGATATTCCCCTTTCTTAAAGATATTAAACTTACATTCTTAACGCCCCTTCAGCACAGAAGTGGTCATACGGGGTATTTAAAGCTATGTAAAACAAGTAAATAGACATTACATAAAACAACCGAAGATGTCATTATAAATATCGAAGGTGGCTATGCTAAGCTATATCCTAACTTTTAAAGCAGCGTGCAAGGAAGTTAATGATATTCAAACAATGCCGATTTAGCCGAGATTTCAGAATATTTATCAAAACTGCGACCCCCTCTAATTAACAATTCTTGAACAATGCTAGTTAGTATGATCATTTGATATTATCACGTCTACAAAATAACATCGTACTGTCTTGATCTATAACTTACTTATGTATACCTAAAATGATATCACGTTTAAATCTATACGAATGACCTTACAAGCCTAGTATGTTTTCTATCCGTCCTAGTAGTACGATCTTTACGATAAAATATTACTGTATTACAAGGAATGAACATTCGTTGTTTTTGTGGTTGCTATTGAACCACGAAACTAAATACAACAAATTTGAATGGTATACGTGTTATCTACTGTTTGTTAGTATAGATTAGCCATGAAAATTTGTACCACGAAATGATCTAAAAGGCTTCAAACCAAGAAGGAAATTACCACGAACATTTCATGTTATACAGTATTAGACTGGGTTTTTAACGGACCATCAACACAGACGAGATCTTTACGGACAATAAAAGGTAGATATAAAGCATACAAAAGAAAAATTACATTAAACAAACGAATAAGCAAGTGGCTAAGGTTAGTTATAGGTTTTTGAACAAACTAGCGCTTTACAAAAATTAACGATTTCCTTAAGGCTAACTATATACATGTGACGTCAAGAGAACAGTTTGTAAACATGGCGCCAGACTTTGCAAGAAATGTTTAAAGACAACTATCTCACATTCAGGATCATATTTGCCTATTCCATACCATATACAATCTGTATTTATCACTCAGCATTGTATTACTCAGAATACACTCAAGAGAGCCTTAAAATACCCTATACCTTTAGAAACTGTATTATTTTGAAGGACAACAATGAATTTGTTTTATAGGTTTATTATATTCAAATGACAACCAAGTATCCTGTGTCTTTAGATATTATTTGTGCAGGATAACCATTTACTTGTTTCTCGTCACACTCGTCAAATATATGTTTCCAAGGGGCAATCATATAAATATTTTGATTATCTAATTTATTTAAATTGGAAACTAGTAGTTTAGAAATATTTGGAATATAGAACAAAATATTATATAGAAACGTATATATTCGTTCGTTTCAATTGATACATGTAAAATGCATTATAATAATTCACATCTAATCATAGACTTGGACAATAAAAACATTCTTAGTAGTACATGACTTACTTAGACAAAAGTCCTGCTCGGCGGACATAGGTTTTCCCGTAAGCATCCGGATCAGGGTCGTAGATTGCGTCCAGGTTCCACCTGTCCTTCGGTATCTCATTCACATGGTTCTCTCCGTTCACCAACACTTTCCAAAATTCTTTAATGTTATTGGCGCCTGGAAATCGGCAGCCAATACCGACTATAGCTATCTCCTCTACATCCCCCATCGCTAGCAGTACCTATTGCCCGACCATCGCTATTGGTGTAGTCACAATGACAGATCAGCACAGGTATTATATAGTCTGTAAAACGTTACAATTTCATGTTCAGCATTACGCATGTCACGTTTTAGTTTTTTCTCTTCAAACAAAATGAATTCAGTTCGGTTAGATTTATGTCAGGTTGTGCTTTACAAGTGTATGTGTTAATTGCGAGATAAGAAACACTGGCGGTATCGGTTCAGCGCACGAGGTCAATGGATAGACCTTAAACTATTTTGCTTTTAACTCTTATTGTCAACCACCTGTTGGTGAGTTACTGACGAATGCGTAACTATTTCAGACAACTAAAACATATTTATTCATTGAAATAAATTCCAGTTTGACGTTCAGCATTTAGGTAATCTGAAACAACCAGTTAGCCCGTTGTCAGTATAATGTGACCGGGTGTATGTGTCTTCGGCATGGTATTTTATTGTCAGTATAATGTGACCGGGTGTATGTGTCTTCGGCATGGTATTTTATTGTCAGTATAATGTGACCGGGTGTATGTGTCTTCGGCATGGTATTTTATTGTCAGTATAATGTGACCGGGTGTATGTGTCTTCGGCATGGTATTTTATTGTCAGTATAATGTGACCGGGTGTATGTGTCTTCGGCATGGTATTTTATTGTCAGTATAATGTGACCGGGTGTATGTGTCTTCGGCATGGTATTTTATTGGCATTGTCTATTTGCGAAAGGGCGAACCCGATGCCGAATTAAGAGTGCCAAGCCCCGACATGTGTCTTACACAATATACACGACAAATAAGACTTTAAAATAATGACATCAAAGTATATTTTGAGAATATTTTGCACAAAATAATATATTCATAAATCTTCAGAAATATGTCATTAAGGAACAATCAGTTTTAATGTAAGGATTAATAAGTTAATCATCAAGGTGAACTCCCCCCAAAAAACTCACAAAGGTTAAAACTTTTAGATCAGCTTAATCAGTAGTAAACGAAATGGAAACTAATTAAAGATCCAATAGGGTCATCAAAGGATGACACTTCTGTATTTTTCATTGTCTAATAGGTAAATAGATGCACATTGTTTTTAAAAAAGCAATACCTCTGTTTCTTGCATGCTTGCTTGCAAATACGCACGCATGTCATTATGATTCGTTTGTTAAATGAATTCTAACATGAACAAAATAGCCTCGCTAATCCAGCCACCTTCATTCCCAGATAATTAATTGTTCCTAAACAATTTCCTATTACATTAAGATGTGTCGCTATCGAAGCTTATCGAATTTCTACTAATCCTTAATCAGTATAACGATTCATATCGCTTATCTATAACATAATCATAATTGATACATGTCTAAAACAAATTAATATTACTTACCGAATGAAAAAATGGACATGTTGAAATGTGCGTAAACGGAAACGAAAAACAAGCAAGGTAGGCGGTAATTGCTTTGTTTTGTTTTGTTCACGCTAAATGGCCACTTGACATAAAGTCACCTCGGACCTAAAGCGTACGCAAATGGCACGCAAATACTTGACACATAAAAGGCTACAAACAGGAATATATTGGAAAACGATTATCGATATTATATTTTATGCAGATCAATACCAGTGGCTATGAAATGTTCAAAAGAGAATATAGTATCACAAGCGAAACGGTTAGGTTGGTCTTAACCCGTAAGCAAATATATATGCACCAGTAATAAGCTTCAGTCACGTTTGCGCCTATTTCCGAAAAGGCAGTCCGTAGTGATATTCGGTCGGCGTCCACCCGATATCTGGACGGGCATCGGCCGATGCTTCCGGCGTCCGGACGGCATTCATTCGGGCATCGATATATACACGCCATATAAAATGCGAAATATCGTACGGGCTACGTACGTATCCTGTACGTATCTAATACGTATCATGTACGTATCTCATACATATCCCGACCGTCACACGGCTGCACGAACATATTCCGGCTACCAACGACAGCCCGGCCATCGTCAGATAGCCTTGCGAGTCCTACGGGCTCCCTACGGTATCATTCAGGTTTCCGTTCGATTTAATTCGGCAAACTGTTTGCGGGAGTCGTGCGGTGCTCGTATCTAATGTGACCATACTCATGGCGAATCCCAGACATTGGCCGGCGCAAATGTGACTGACGTATAATGCATCTATATTCCATTCTAAAAGATGCACGTGCCACGGACTCGGGTGGTTGTACCTTTAAAACTAGGTAAAAGATACAGTATGCGAAACGAGTTACACTGCATTATACAGATGGCGACATATTGATACTTCCCGTTATTCTGAATCCGTTTGACGACAGGGGTTTTGGCTGATTTCTTATGCGCAATCATTTATCAACTTTCTAATTTACTTTCCACACTGACCTATTTTATCACATAGCGGCCTCGGGCAAACAGTTCCACAGGGCTTCCCCCTACCTCGGGATGATAGTATATAAATATGATATTCATTAGCAGGTGACAGTGAATATTGTCAACCCGAGAAAACCTCGGGTGACAATGGGTTTTTGAGGGTTGACAATATTCACTGTCACCTGCTAATGAATGTCATATCTATTTTGTTACACCAAAATTCTTTGTAGCTCAGAAACGGCAGCAAACCTCGATAATGACATCTTGTTTGTTGATAGTCTGCTGTTTATAATCGCTATCGGTCCGGCGCTTGATGATATTGTCTGTTGCCGTCAAACGTTCTTGTGACCATCACGGTGAGGAAACGAAGCGGTGCACGCACATTTTTCGCGCATGTGATATTTTTCACTGTCTCATGGCAAAACCTCGGGTGACAATGGTTTTCTCGGGTTGACAATATTCACTGTCACCTGCTAATGAATATCATATTTATATATTGTTACACCTCAAGTGAATATCTAGCTATTTGATTGGTTGGGAGAAAATTAAACAAAAGTCTCTGTCACCCTCCGAAAATACATTGGTTTTAAGGGGCGCGGATGATATTGCCATGAGACAGTGAAAAATATCACATGCGCAAAAAATGTGCGTTCACCGCTTCGTTTCCCAACCGTGATGGTCACCAGAACGTTTGACGGCAACAGCCAAATTTATGAAGCGCCAGTGCAATAGCGATTGTAAACAGCAGACTATCAACAAACAAGATGTCATTATCGAGGTTTGCTGCCGTTTCTGAACTACAAAGACTTTTGGTGTAACAAAATAAATATGACAATGAATGTCATATTTATGAACTGTTCCCCAAATAGTCATGAAACAATTGTATACTGTGTTATCCGGTGAAAATACTCATGTAAAATGAATTTTAAATATAGCCCTGTGATTGGTTGTAAGTTTCAATTGTTTTAATTGTGACGTCACGTCTAGGAGAAGTAAATGACATCACAGACTTACGTAATTTAGTGAAAATGGCAGTTTTTGTATTTCAAGGTTGCATGAAAATTGTAGTTTTACAAGTATAAATGCCACAAATCCTGATAATGTGATAAAAAAGGATCTTGCACTCGTTTTTATTTCATATGAAATGTACGAAACTCGTCACGATTTTTTCATTTAAGCTCACCTGAACTTCCAAAATTGAAAAATTCTTTGACTCGTTTCATAGATCTCATATAAATGGAAACTCATACAAGATCATATATGTAAACGATAACATCTGAATCATGACCCCGAGAAAAAAGAAACATCACTACCTCTGCAATATATCTTACGTTAATAATACCGGCCTTGTTAGAAAGTTTGTAGTTAAAACTGTAACCTGACTTTTAAGTTTGATTGCGGTCTCGCAAATTCCCACAATTACCGAATTCCCGGAAACGAATATGAACAACGTGTGTTACATTGAATACTCATTTCTATAATTAATGCACACAATAAGACAATTAAACCAACTATATCTATAAATTTACAAACGTCGCAGGAGCTGCCGTGTAATACGTTATAACGTAATCCCTAGCTTAAATTGTTCCGGTTAAATACAATGCCTTTGAGTAATTTGTACTGTGTTATTGTTGAAAGAAAGTTAGTAGATTTTGATACATGATGATGATTTATAAAGGAGTTAAAAGTGTTCCCGTCTAGCTTCACCGGTTTAACTTTTTGAAGCCTTTTTGAATATAGACACTTGTCGCTATTGTTGGACTTTAGATAGTAAAGATAGTAGGTCAAAAGCTAAATAATAACATAGTAAATGATTTAGTTGTGCGAGGCCTTTTAGGTTAGTTAGTTATTAATTGGATTCCTTTGGTTCGGTTTGTTTGTGTTTTATGTCCTATTAACAGCTATGGTCATTTAAGGACGTGCCAGGTTTTGGTGTTGGAGGAAAGCCGGAGTTCCCGGAGAAAAAACCAACCGACCAACGACAAGTACCTGGCGACTGCCCAACGTAGGTCTCGAACCCGACCCAATGGGGGAGTGCTAGTGGTAACAGAATGTCGGATGCCTTAACCACATGGTCACCGCGGCCCCTTTATATTGGATTCTTAACGGACCATCAACACAATATGGTCAATAGGGCCAATACAAAGTAAAAAATAAGCATGTATACGATGGAATAGGTCAACTTGAAAAGTAAAGTGGTCATGGCTAGTTGTACATTTTTGAACAGACCAACACTTTTCAGGACAGGATCGGAAAAGAAAAGACCTGCAGTTTGCCAGTGCATGTCGTAAGACCCGACAAATGTGGCCCCTCGCAGGATTGTTTTTTTTCTTTCTGTGGTGTGTCTGTAACATCTTTTACAACATTACAAGACCAGAATTGATCTGCTTCCCCGATTTAGTATGTGTCTTTTGAACTTGTGTATAGTAATGTTAAGCTTAAAGAAAGTCTGAAAAAATCATTTCTAGTCGTATCCCTTTACTGTCATCTCATCTTCAAACTAAAAACTGTGTGTGTGTGTGTGTGTGTGTGTGTGTGTGTGTGTGTGTGTGTGTGAGTGTGTGTGTGCGCGCGCGTGTGTGTGTGTGTGTGTGTGTGCGCGCACGCGCGTGTGCGTGCGTGCGTGCGTGCGTGCGTGCGTGCGT